TTTAAAAAGGGGACCTGCAGTGAATGTGGTGGGGTGTTAGTTTGACTCCCGTTGCAACAAAGTCTCTGGTATTACCAACTCTTCAGTGTCTCACGGTGGCACGCGAATCCTTGACCCGTGTGTATCGAGAAAAATTTCGACCGGTTATGGGATGCATTGACTACATCTCCACAATTCATCAGGTATTGGACCAATTCCATATGTATCGAAGATCCAAAATCTTGGCGTCCCCTTATTTCAACTATATGTTTGATTCTGTCGATCGGTCAGTACTGTTAATCACATTCACTCAGCACGATATCTTTTGGGATTTTGTGAACATAATCCTGTCCCTATATCCACATGAATCTGGGATCCTGAGAGCATATCATGAACTCTCCAAAACCTTCCATACAAAAGGCCGGGTCAGGCAATGGTGTCCACTCTACCTATTATTGTTCAACTTTGTCACTGATGAGATAATGAGGCGAACACTAGACAGCTTCCAAAACTGTGGTGTTCAAGTCGTTACTGGTGAGAGCCTTGTAGGTCTGGAATACGCAAATACCATCGTCGTTAGCTCTGAAGACGAAGATGAAGCAGAAGCCCTGTTGAAGTGACTGGCTTTTATATCCTCTTAGATAATGTATCAGTGAGACTCGTTAGTTCACCGAAATGGAGAATACAAACAACTTCGAGGAAACTACACTGCAAACAATTGGCCCGTTCCGTGATATGAAATTCGACCGAACCAGAATATAAAAGTAGACAACAGTCCAATGGGATTTCAGCGAGAGGCTGAAATGTAGCAACAAGGTTTCAGTAAACGACAAATCGTTAGCAAAGTTAATGTGTTCGTTTAGAGGTAGTCCTCCTAACACTGACCACCATCATACCATCTTTTGACATGCCTCATTTGCTTTAAAAGTGCAAACTTATGCTTCAGGTCGTGCATTTTTTAACATTTACGTTGCGATTTAAAGGGATTCACTGGAGGCTGTAGATAATTTTACATACCTCGGTAGTTGTATTGGTTGTGGCCAAAATATGTCTGGTGAAATTGGTGCAGAATCTCAAAAGGCAGAACCACGTTTGTTGAGTTGTCACTTGGGACGTCAAGAAGGTAGATCACTTGGTCTCAAAGATTGCCCCTACCAGGATACGGTAAGGTTACTCTGCATGCCCCCTAAGGACAGATGATATTAGACATCTTGCGCCTTTTACCACCGATATCTATGGAGCTTTGTTGATGTCGGATGCAGTCAACGAATTCCTAATGAGATCATTAGAAGATTGTGCAGCAAATATTTCAATAGCAGAACATATCCAACACCATCAACTGCGGTGGTTCGGCCATATACCAAGCATGTCTGTATATCGTCTACCAAAAAGTGTATTGTTTTCTGTACCGCCTTCAGAATTGCGCAAAGCGCGAGAGAGACAACGTATGACTTGGCCGAAGGGGATGGTGGAGAGTATGAAGATTTTGGATGTTGCTGGTGTGGTGTGCCTTCCAGTGCGGGGCCCTCACGACCCCGGTTGTGCTCGGCTGGAGACAGTGCAAAAAAGTTTGGCTGATTGATGTCAGTGGTATTCATGCTGTCAGTTTCTTACCAGACTGTCTGATTGAGTGTTTGCAGATGTAGGCAATTCAGAATGCCTGCGATAGGCCAGCACCATGTTCCTTCCCTCACCCACTCTCTTATTTTTTCTGAGATCCAAGGCTTTAAATATAATTGGATATACTTTGTGGACATACGGCAGTCAAGCACCAGCGTCGATCTTGGTATTGCTTTCTCTAATGATTATACTAATAATACTAAGCGAAGTTTTCAGGGTCGTTTTATCTCCCCGGGGGGTTGCCCAGGTTACACTTCTCCCTCTCACCCGAAGGAGGCATATAAGTTGCCCTAATAATTAGGGTGCTGCAGTAGACTTTTGCGAAGAGTTTAGATTTTTTGCAGTGTTTGTTGGGACCTCACAAAGGCGTCGACATTGAGTGCAATTTCAATGATGTGCCGTCTGAGTCCGTTGATTACACTGCCAACAAACGTGGTTAATGATTGGACCAGCTCTTTGGGTAATGTTTTGTGCCCAAACACGAGACTTCATACACATATTTCAAGATCTTTGAAAATTTATGGCCCAAAAACCAGAATGTGCATTTTTTCGGATAGTCATTTCCCGTGTCCATTCACGATGTATCCCATTGGGGCCGACATCAGAAATCCATCGGTGTGATGACCAGACGATTGTTTGTCATTGATACTGTGCTTATTCGGAGAGATTAGTTCATATCCTGTAGTCCTGTTTGGTCACGCGTGAGGGTTGCTGTGTCAGTCATTATTGGTTTGCTGGGGGACTCTACAAATGGTTTCCGACATCTGGTTCGCATTTTCCTTGGGGAGTTGTAAACAGCAACTTGGACCTTTTGTGAAGGCGGACGTGATAGCCATCTGTGAGCAATAAACAGCAGTAATAGAAAAATATAGCTTCGAACGGGCACGGAGTAATTATATGGAGTGAGGAAAAGCAGAAATGCAGTGCCCACTGGTTTTATCCACTCACAGTCTCAGGCCTACTTTTCTTTGATTTTGGTGATGGTTTGGTTCACGAGTCGTCCAACATTTCACGTCGATATATCTTCTCAGTATTTGCTCAATACAAAAAGGATGTCCTTAGACCGGAGCTTTCTAGGGTCGTCATCAGTAATTTATGCTCTCTGTGTACGTACAACGCTTTTACGAGGCACATGGCGTTGATTTTCGTACCCATGTCTTTCACACGGATGCCTTATATCGGATGAGCTGTGATAGCTGTGTGAGTCTTGGCTGAGGATAATTGAAAAGATCTGCCGCAGTGGGAGGTTGGATTCGCCGTTGACGTATGATAATACTCGATGGTTGGTGACATTGCCATTTCGCAGCATGCCACGATTAACGACGAGCTAGTGTATCTTAGCTTACCGGTTCATCCGTCCTTTCATTATCTCCCACAAACTCTCTCCGCGTTTCTTTTATTCTGCTACTCTATATCCCTATCAGCCTGCATGACTGTGCAACTCCGAAACCACGCTGAAAGACAGTGCTTAAGAAGATGACCTTGATATCTATCTCAGTTTATTGCTTCAAGTTTTTCGTCCAGGATGCTTATCTTTTATTCAGACTACTACAAGGAAGAGAAACGCATTGAAGTACTGCTCAATTCGGGTAGTTTTGTTTGTGCATACTTCCTTCTTGGTATACGAGGTGCACAAGTTCTGGTGTGCTAGGTGGTGATGTATGATCCGTTTTCATTTTTAAGGAGATACTCGCTGAAATTGCAAGTATTCCACAAAGACATATATGTCAGGATCTTTCCTGTTAGTTCTATTGTTTAGTAACCATCCAATCAGGTTGGCTGGAAAGGACTCGGTTATGACAAACCCAAATACATATATTTAGCGTCAAATCTGTTAAGGAAAGAAAAATACAATTGGCCATCGGGGCGGCATAAGAATGAGTTGACAATGAGTACTCACTCAAACCAAGCGGGCCGCCACCGACAGTGTCGAAGGAAACCAAAAGCAAGGAGACTTTTGAGTTTCTACATAGGTAAGGCAAAGAAGAATACACAATTGTGCCCTTAGGCACAACACAAAGACACATTGTCAAATTTGAGTGGGTACCAAGGTGCATAAGAAATGCCATGAGCATGATGAGTTTCCTGTTAGAGGGGAGGTCTGTTGCATGACCTTCCAAATGGAGGTAACGATGGAATACCTGGTTGTGATTTGTGATTTATAACCACAAGGTTTTTCTCTCCGGATTTTCTCCTAGAGGTCTGCCGCAGGTGAACAGACAGACTTCCATACGCTTTCGAGCTTAGCTCCAGTACCCCAAGCACCCCTCTTTTAAGCATCTGAGTTCTCGAGTGCGTAATTCCAGTAGTTAAAAAGGCTATACAGAATGATAAGGCCACAACTCATGCAAGGGGAACCAAAAAAGTCGCTGTCCATGTGGGTAAAATGAGCACTCGGGTGCAAAGTTACGTTCAGTTTAGGGCAATACTTCGATCAAAACCAACCCTTAAACACTGTAGGCAATCAATCCGTCAGATGAATATCCTGAATAGCCTGTCCTCAGAAGCGCGTTAGAAATACCGGACGGACAAGTATGTGGTAAAGAGTAGGTGACCAAACGTGCTTTAGTGTTCTTTGGTTCCGAATGATGTCTCAATGGCGTATGAACCGATGGTAATGGCTCACAAGGCCAAGGAAACGTCAAAATTGATGCTCAGTGGTGGGTACCTGGAACTCACGGACGGTGGCATTTCTACTGTCTCTGGGTTTGATACCAGAATAGTCGATCACAACCAATGAACTTTGGAGAGACAAGCATGATTTTGCCTTGAAGTGCAATACTTATGAATGGCACCAAGTTTGAATGGACATCAAGATTCAAACACAACGCGAAACTGCTGACTGCCACGTTGATCTTAGTCGGCCGCTACGCAGTGACTCGCTAAACCGTTAGATCGTTCGAGCGGTTAATTACAGCCCTTAGATGCAATGGCTTGACATACCTTGCGCACTTCTAAGGCCTACCGTGCTCTGTCGGACTGAGGTATTTGTTTATATCAAACTTCAAATGCTTCTCGGTGGAATGTCATTTCATGTTTGTGGTGAAGAGCCGGTATGATATGTTAGACACCTTATGATGCGGTGGTTCTTGTGCGCAATGTTACTTTCCAAAATAATTTGGGATGATCCTCAGTTTCTTTGTTAATGACACTAGTACGTAAACGCCCGTTGCTTGTGTATAACCATTTCGAGCTTCATCAAATGTTAAGCATAGTAAGATCACCAAACTAACCGGTGTACAGCCAACGTTGTCCCATTATGTGCGTATTTGGTCTGTCACCCAAAAACATATATTTTATATATCGTATTTTTTTTCATTTTCAGATTGCTCTTGGAGCCGCCTTCTGCAACATTAAACTGTCACATTCCTGATTGTTAGCTCCAGTTCTCTGTTGATTTTATGGTAGAGACGAATGCAGTTAACATTAAACGTCAAAATATTTCAACAAAACTGATTGAAATTTCGGAATATGTTGAGAGGGTCACCTACTATATTCGGGAACCTGATGTAGGTGCTAAATTAACGTAATCGCTGCCACTTCAGGTTCGTTGGTTTTACAAGGACGCTTCAGATAAGCGATGGACCCCATTCAACGGTTACGACTCTTTAAACTTGGAAGCGGCGTTCAGGGCTCAGTGTGTCGAACAACAGTACGGTGTCGTGGATGAGTCAGCCTTGCCTAATACAAAACACTATCCTAATCTACTATCTGATACCACCCCGACCAAAAAAGCTCGAAGTGCTGTCATAACTCCGTCTCCAAATGTTTCGGTGATAGGCGGTCTCTATGATGTAGATGTGACAACTCGGATTTGCAATCCTGTTTATTGGGCAAGTAAGTTACTTTCAGTGGTAGCAGATTTCCATAGGTTATTGGCCTTCACTGCATGGTATTGTTCATTGGTACTCCGCTTGAAGGGTGAAAATCGTTCAACCGGAAACTTCGGTCTTGATGTATAATATCTGATCTCTTTCGCTTGTGTTCTATCCCTTAATAGGTCTTCTATATTCATCTTATATATGCATGTCCTGTCCTGTTAACCCTTGGTTGACAAGACTTTTTGAGGTTAATGGCCATCTGCAATTTATGGCCGAGTGATGTTAAGTTCACCTAATGATACAAGTAACCCAGGTCAAACTAAGCTTTGTGTTTCACAAGTTGTTACAATTTCAGGCTTATTACAACCCGCTGATTTTTCTGCTTAAGCAGAATACTAGTTGTTCATCCTCCAATGTGCCAATTCGTATGAGGAAGCCGGAAAACATTGAACGATTGTCCCATTCTTGCTAGTAATCAGCACAGCGCATCTCAAAAATCTGTGGAGCCATTTGAATGCTCGATTTTCCTCCTATTGATTGAACACTGCGTCATTCTGTTGCCAATGGCAACCTTTCAAAGAGTTAGAATGTAGCACCACCATCACGCAGCAAATGCTTCACGATTTGGTGATGATGACTTCTCAGCTTTCCAGCATAAATTGCTCGATGGGACACCGTTACTACCCATAGAATTAGGGATGTCAAAAGAATGGCGGCTGTAAGCGCACGTGCTAACTTCATCCATTTTCACAGATGCTTTTTTATGAATTTTCAAAGACGGTTTTAGCACTAAAAGCAACATAAGTACAGTTTTTGGAGATTCTGAAATGAGAATGCCACATTGTGGATCGAGTACCAAAGCTCTTGCACGCCTTTAAGAAACAGAAATGGCCGGGAATGTTCCAACATTCTACACAATAACGCTATTGTGTACATGCTTCCAAACTGATTACTTGAAGAATAGCCTTCTTTGTTTTTTCCCCGGGCATACTTTCTTTGCTTCCATCAGTTTCGAATCATTATTTATTGTGTTCCGACAACGATTGATTCTTCACCACTAGTATACCTTTATCAGTTCTCATGAAATCAGGAATCTGGGCAACTGATTGTGCAGTAGAATGAGAAAGTTGCTCCCAAGAACTACATAGTTAGATTCAGAGTCTCCGTGCTTCGTAATAAGAGTGCACTTTTTCCAAGCCATCGCTGATTTATTTCAAACAGCCACACTGACGAGTATATAAGAGCCTCGATGATGATCTGGGTTTGACTCTTTATGGATGGGCTGCCGACCCCATACAACCTGTACACGAATAATTTCGGCAAATGTGTTGAAATGTACTTTGCAATGCATCATCTCCAGCAAGTTGATCGACTAGTGGGAAAGACAGATTCGTTAGAACCAAGCTGAGCTTCTTCCATAATCTAGAATCCACTGACCATTTCTTTACTTTAAGACAGGCTACCGAACAACGCTCCCCTCAAAACGTCCAACGGTTGTCGTTCTTGTGTCTCAGAAGTTACAGAATGTATCTCCGAATAAAACCCTTCACCTTCTCACTCCACTGCGGATCACCATATTGTTTCAATGGCTTATGGTTTGGCCTTCTTTGGCCTAGCAACTGGGAAGTATCATTCGCCCTTACAGACCCTCAATCACCAACCCGTTCCCACAAGTCCATCACCCAAGTCCTTCTGATTTATCTGGATGTCAATCACCTAACCGTCGCTCTTCATCTAAACTTCTTCGCTATAAAAAATAGCTCAAAAATTGAGAGAACGCCGGTGGGCGGCGAAGTTCCCGAAAATGGAGCTGTTTTTTAAAGCAGGAAACCGTCCTACCCTGTTCCAAGTAACCTAGTCAACTGGTCCAGGGAGAGTGACCTCAGTTCGTTTGCAAAGACGCCGAACAGATCGAACTTGTTCAACGGCAGTTGAGCTGACCTCCATCAACCTAGCCTCCGAAGGAGCATGCAAACCCGAACGGAAGATCAACATCAGTCCCACCCACTCGTCAACGTGAAATTTCATCACCTCAGCGCAACCGCAGGCGATTTCCATCCTACGTCTCTTAGAAAATGCGGTGAATTCCTTATGACCAACCTGAAAATTTTACTCCGATGTATCTGAGATGAAGACAGAATACCGAAGGAATGGGACACCTCAATGATGCTCCTTAAATTCAAAGAGAGCGCAAGCGCACCGTGAGAAAACCACTGGGACATCAGTATAGCGGTCATAGCTTCCAAGGCCTTCTCTGGTGTTATTATGCACAAGTTGATTTACGGCCAAGATGGTCAGAAGGATTAAGCTGGATTCGCATCGCTCATTTTGCGACAAGTGCAAGAACCACCTCACTCCTTCCGCTGCTAACAATGGCCAGTTTCTGTGGCCTAACATCTGTTTTTCACTTCATGGTTGCCAAAACCATGACAGTGCCTAGCGGCGAAGGAAATTCCCTTTTGAAACTCTTATAAAGCCTGTATACGCCTCCCCCGTGTATTCATCGGTGTCTGCGATGAACTCCTGAATCTGGGCATCTAGGGTGTCAGACACGGATGCCCTCTCTCGCTCTACTTCAGCTTCGCAGTTGATGTATCGCTTTAGTCTTCATCAGTCTCTAACTTCGATCGGGATGCAAATACTTCTGGGGTGTTTGCTCGTAGACAGTCAGTACGCTGTGAGTATTGAATTAGGCCCTTGAAAATTACAAATATCCTAAACAACTCTGCTGTCTGGTTCGACATTAACTTCATACCTGGAAAGAGATCAAACCCAAACCTACCGGTTGCAGGTGAACCGATGGATTCGGTTAATAGGTTGGTTTTCTGGTCAGCCGCATAAGTTACGGCGGACTGGTGAAGGGTGAAATCACTTACCGGATCTGAAAGGCCGTGGCATAGTTTGCCAGCCTCTGACATTTATGGCGCTGACGTTTAGATGCCAAGGTTGGAGTGTACACTGTCGCAATCCGATCTGGCCTGTTTTGTGGGCCAGAGATACAACCGCTGCGGGCGAAAAATCCTCTAACAATGCGTTTGACCATAAGTGCTTTGGAAGCATTATGCGGGTCTGGAGGATACATCAAATCCTCAATACTGGGGTATGTCAGACGGTTTTCAGAAAACGTCACTCTGTCCTTAGATAAGCTCGGCACACTTCATGGGTTACGCCTGATTCGGTTTGCACGGCAGGTGCGATCTGAAAGGATTGAACAACTAAGTACCTTTGTTGCTTGTGATTCACGTTTTTTGCGTGATTGTATTCCAGTGTGTCTGTAGCTTATTCAGATTGAGTTTTATCGCTTCTAGTTTTTGTTTACTCCCAAGCCCTTCCATCAGTTGCTTTTCTGTCAGTCCATTCAGTTTTACTTTTTCAACTTTTAAGTTCGCTCGGTCTAAGTCAGATGTCTGGTGCTTACGTTGCCGTGATCGATCGCGTTTAGTTTCATTATCTACTCCACCGGCCATTCTCATTCATTTTGTCGTGTTTTTTCGCTTCTAGACGGCAGACCTTCCATGCGTGTCCTCAGAGGGGTATGGTTTCGTGATTCCGGCGCTGGTGTCTTTGATCCCTTGGACGACGAAATGTTGGTTGAACAATTGGAATCCGAGTACTCTAATTGCTTCTTAAAATGCAAATCAGCCAAGAACTCGGTCGATCCCATCGAGTCCATGTCCGAACAGGCAAGAGCTGAAGGTGAAGTCCAACCGAATCAAACCACAGGATTTGTGATGTTGCATACGGTAGCCAGCGCCCCGACGGTTTTTAGCCAATTCGCTGTCGGTACAGAGAGTATCAGCATTGGTGGTGAAAGTCGACCAAGCTCACCAGTCAGCTCACCAATCACCGACTTAGTGGCCCCTTCCACCTCGGCGGAATCTAAACGGAAACTACGTAAGTTCCTGTTCATCACTACTGTCGAGATCATTCGACCAATCCAGATATTTTTCCTGTCAATTAACGTTATTTTCTAAACGTTTGATTTTTCAATGTATCGATGATAATGTGCTACCAATGTGAATGTTTCGGCCCGGGCGACAGGAAACTGTCTTTAAAATATTCTTGAGGCTAATTCAACCCCAGCAGATCTCTCGACTTAGTTTTGCTATCCTCGCCAGTGGGTGGTTTGCCTTGAGTGCATAATGACACGTTTTGTTTAACCTGTATAGTCGCCATTCACAGGCGACTGTGGCATAATTTCGATACCCTGCTCAGGTGAACGGTCTGCTAAGCCCAGTTAACAACCGAACAACATTGTTCATCTCCTTTCAATGCCCTTCCTCATAGGGAATTGTATACCGGTGGGCAAACTTCAGTCATGTACCTAAGACACTTTGCAGCTAGTCTTCTGTGGTTGCCAAAATCACTTTAGCTTGCTTGTCGCACTCCCCCCCAGGAAGCCAGAACCTATTGTACGCAAACTGCAATGATTGCACAGATTGACTCGAGCTACTGTTGTTTGAAATGCTAATATCTGATGGGGCTGAGAAACAAACGAAACAGAGAAGTCGTTGTTGATGTCTTAAGCCGTCAAAAAATGCACCATCGGAATTCACATGCATGTGAGACGCAAGTCCTTACGGTGTTTGAACGCACGCTCAGTCGTTTACTACTACACCACGGGCCTTTTGGGAGCCTGTAGCGCCTTGCAACTTGTGCAATTCGTGTTTCTTCCCTTTACGCCCTGCGCTCTGCACCTTCCCGTCCCGCCCATTAACAATGCTTTTTCATTCAGCGCTACCTAAGCTAGATACGGTTTGAAAGTGGGCACAGTTACTTGCATTATCAAGCGTAGAACGACATCACTCCGACCTGCATACAAATGTTTAAACTGCTTTTAAAATGAACGTGTGAGGATCCAGTGCACCAGCTATATATCATTCCTGTATAGCGAGTCTGACAGCCATCTGAAAGACGATCTAGCGGTGTAGGACGCTTAAAAGACAGGATCACAGGTATTTGATTCAAGCATTCCAGCTGCATCGACGTGGTTCACCAGAACAGCCCAGTTAGGATATCTTGGTATCCGGGTTCATATCCAGGGGTCAGTGCATATCGTTCTAATACTCTGAAACGCAAATGAATGAATTTTGCTTTTCACTGAATCTGTTAAGTGGTTGGCTATCATCTGACCTCAAAGATGACGTAAACTGAAATCATGTAACCAAAACAATCGATCGAAACATACTTTGCTGTACTCAAGCTGTTTGACGGGAAGAAGAAGGTTCAGCTGTAGCACCCTTACGGTGTCTAACTGCCACGCCACCCGAATGAAGCACGAGGGCTGGGATACTGCCATGCTGCCCAAGCCTAGACCGGGAAGTCGAGAGGCGGAGGTCGGTTTCGAACCACGGACCTTCCGGTCAGTAAACTCGCGCTCTAACCACTTGGGCCATCTCGCCCCTATCTGGCATGACAAGGCCACAACCCACTTTCATGTGCACATGGACGATTAACAGTCCATGTGCATTTTTGGTGGATAATGCGGCGGTTTAACCGAGCCGTGCGATGATGCCCTAAGTATGTCAAGTGTATTGTCCGAATAATCGTATTGCCCGAACAGGTGGAGTATGATTACCTTCATGGATAGACACACCAGTATCGATGACCGATGCTGTAGCACAACACAAACAGGTACAAAGGACCTACTGGGAGATGTATGGCGCCTGTTTTGAGATTCAGTTACGGCAGTTGAACTGCATACCCTTGGTTGAGTGCAGTAGACGCAGTGAACTCCGACAGCTGACCCAGCCTGTAAGTTGCTTATTTATGGTTGACAATGACTTTAGGAAATACCTTGGATATATATCCTTTTAACTGCCTAGTACAGAGATTTTCCATATTATCTTGTCCCTTCCGCTCACTACAGCATCCTGATGGAACGCATATCTTGACGTGAACCTCAAGCGTGTGCCTCAGCAGTAGTACGGATATCAAAATGCTGTTATTTCAATGAATCCATGTGCTGTTCCGCTGTTGGCAAAGTTATGGTTGCCTGCGTCTGTTAGTATCAATTACCAGGTTGATTATTATTTTTTTTATTTCTTTCCATTTTGAAATATAGCTCTTCATACCGTTCGATTTCCCGACTGCCATGTGGATTTCCACAGTTCTGAAGAAGTCTATCTTTATCAGGACTCAACCACTTTATATATTCGACAAAAACTTGGCATGCAAAAAGGTGAGCGTTTCGCTTGGACATTTGGACAGCTGAGAAAATGCTAGTCTCGAACGGTCACATCTGACCATTTGTTAGGTTACTTTCGAGAGACATTTTTCTTTTCGAGGGGTCAGCGAGAGTTTTGGTTTCAACTGAGTCCTTTCAGAGTATAAACCCAGTGCGACTTTAAACGCCTCCTCTTTCAGAACCACCGAAGTTGTTTCAAACTTTGAATTGTTGCGTAACTGTCCAAAAACGGAAATAGATTTTATTACGCTTATAAAAGATTTTCCTCCAGGCCATGAGAAGCTTATGAATGAACTTGACGAACAAACGGGACCAACGACGGAATCCGGTGTCAGCGTAGTCATGGAGCAGGTCACCGTTTATCAGTGTCTTCTAACTCTGAGGAGACGCATTTTTTTAACTGAACAATTTTTTCTGGGGGCACAAAAGTTTTTACCATATGGTTTCACAATATGCCCTCTGTTTTGCACCACACTGGACAGCAGTTTACAACTTTTCGCCACCTCAATCGACTCGTTCCACACCAATAAGACAGAACCTAAGCTTTTTGGCGAAAGACGAACCGCTCAGTGGAGAGTAGATATCACTTAGATCGCCTTAATAGCTTTTCACAAATAGAACGCTTAATGTATATTCGTAATGTGTATTCGTAATGCACTACTCATAAGGTTTCTGAAAACGCTTAATGAACTACATCCAGTCATAAACATTCTCATTCGCCAAAGTGACTTGGTTTGAATGGTCGGAGACGGTTTATTTAGCCTTTTCCTGTAGGTGAAAAGAGGTCAAGACCACCGGTCAGACTATCAACCATTCGTGTCATGGTCAGTTCTGGTTCTCCTCAGGGTGTTACTCTGTAGACGCAAATTGTTTCATCCCTGATTACTGGACGATTCATATTCCCGAACGATGGAATTGGGTAGCTATTTTCTAGTGTTTTGGTGGATGGATGCCTTCCTTCTTCATGCTACTGCCTAGTTTGAAATTTCCACTAAAAACAAGTTTCACTACAAGCACTTTTTACTCATATTTGAGCTGAACACTGATACTCGCTTTGCTGCGTTCCTAACCTTGTTCAACCTTCTCTCTTTACCCTTTACAGTAGGAACGCGTCTGTATCGCGGCTATAACCAGGTGGCGTGTGCTGACGACAAACCACCAGATGTGACCCACTTGTGCTTTGTTATACATGGAATCGGGCAGAAAATGGGTGCGAACAACATTCACAAGTGTTGTAACGAGTAAGTCCAGAAAAAAACAGTGTCACACTAACTTCACATCGATTCGCATGCAGGCCGTTGCGCTTGAGTTCGTTGGATGTATGCACCCAAATGCTAGGTCGAACAACCTCCCTTTATTTCCAACTATTTTCTTGGCGCTGTTTGTATGCAAAAAATGAAATGAAAATAAGCCATCTAGCGGTAACACTCTTTCGGTGCCTCTTTGCCATTCTACCCGAAGGAAGCATGAGGTGCTCAAGCCTAGATAGGGGAATTCGGGATGCAAAGGCCGGGTTCAAACCAATGACCCTCCGGTCAGTAAATTCGCTCTAACCACCGAGCCATCTCGCTCCTGGTTGTGTACAGCGTGGCACGAATGGTAGTTCTTTAAGACCTGCGATAACTTGTACCAGCAGTACGCCTTGCACCACTGACGGATAAATGTTGCTACCAGCGCTTGAACACACTTAGTGGAGCAAGCCTCCCGTTGGAGCGCTTTCCAAAAAGTGGACACCCCGCGTGCATTTTGCGTCAGGTTTTTACGGGTTTTTATTCCAACAGAACCCACGCCTCAACCCTCTCCGGGGTTTTGACTCTGGCCATCCCGGGTTTTTCTCCATTTCAAATCTCAGGAAGAAGTTTACGCAGCTTCCGACAAATCCATCAACCTTGTACTTCATCATTCAGTGAAATTCCTGTTTAATTTAGATTCTGATGCACCGGAAAGAGAGCATGGCTGTGGAAATTTATTAATTTCATATCTCTCTGCTTCGTCCTCCCTCAGCGCGTACATAAGATAGATATGGTATCCCTTGGACATCCAGCTGTCATGAGCGTGAACAACGTTCTTCTCTATATGGAACCTGAAACTGCCCGAGTATTCATGGATCCACGGTTGATTCACTTAAGAATTTCATTGGAATGTTCAAGTACCTCGTTCAGATAAGCTGCACTAGGCGTGCTCGCACGAGTAAATGTAAATGTAAATCCTCCATCAAAGAGACTGTTATCGCGTTTTCGTCTCAAAACCCAAGATGGAGTTCAACTTATCCACTATTTTTGTACTGTGCTGATCATTTTGTGGATAAAGATGTCAGTAGAGGGATAATACGGTGGGCCCCTATCCATGAAACTCCTGTTATCTAGAAAAAGGCATCATCACCTCGAGGTTGAGTGACCTTACTTTACTGTGTATGCGTATGTGGCTGATGGTAAATGTAGGCTCATTCGGCTAATGAGTTCCTAATTTTCCAAATTATGATGCTAGCAGATCCCCAGAGTAGTGGCAGTGAAGCATCGGTGCCAACACTGATGTAGTTGTCTTCGATGATGATGAGATCCCCAGTAGATCGTAATGGAGTATTATCTTCGAAAATTCAGCCAACATCCTTTTGAACACCAGGACAGTTTTGCGATTGCAGGACCATATTTCACTAAGGTTGGTGAAACTGATCAGCTAGCTGCGGCCATTCTGAAAAAAATGTTATAAATGTTGAAGAGTCAAAACAACCAAAATTGCTGAAATTTTGTGATATCTTTCAGATAGTTTTGGTACTTAGCTCAATAGTTTAATAATAGTAACCTTGGCGGGATAAGGAAGAAGTGAAAAAGCCTTGTCCGAGCAGGGAACACTATGTCTTATCCTATCAGGTCTTCGCAGTCGAAAGTGATGGTACTATTACAAAAAATGAAGTCGGCATCGGGTAGTAGTCACATATTGGCTTCTTAGCATTAAACCTAACCTAACGACCCATCTATCCAACTTCCGATGTCCAGCTGACGATTATGAGGACAGAATGCACGCTTACCGTAACGTGATTTAGAACTACTGAATGTATCACGTAATGGACTCCCTTTGATATACTCTAAGGGAAGTAGATTAAAAGCACGCATTAACTGGCTTTACAAGGTCAAGGCACGTCTTTTGGGAAGCGGCTAAGCAACATACGGGGCCGAAAGTCACTTCAAATCTCATTGGGTCATTTAACCCAACCTCTTGTACAAACCAGCGAGTAGGTGGCATATGTGCGTCTTTCAATAAATATAATATGCTCCGTTTATCATAGCATTTAGGTAAATAGTGATCACATTAATTCTTTCGTTCTGATTTTCACTGGTGGATTGAAATCTATACTTCTTTACTAGATTACGTGAAAACTGCGCTAGATTGCAGTCAAAATACTTCACCCAACCGGAATACACCAATCAGCGTGTAGAGTTTCTGCCGATCGAGTGGCGTTCGTCTCTGCAACTGGATGGAGACACAGTGGAATCTATAACCCCAGTTCATGTTCGTGGTCTTCGGACCATCTTGAACAGCTCTGCTATGGACATCATGTACTACACCAGCCCACTTTACCGCGCTGAGATTAGTTCAAGTCTTCTGGCTGAACTCAATCGCATGTACACTTTGTTTTGTTCGCGAAACCCTGAATTTGAGTCTCGTGGCGGCATGGTTTCTGTGATTGCGCACTCCTTGGGCTGCGTCCTCGTCTACGATTTGATTACTGGATGGAGCCAACCGTTCTATCACTACCCTCCCCAGTCTTCTAACACCAAATGCATGATGCCAAACTCGAATGGCGGTCCCGTACTGACAAAAAATGGCGGATCACCAAGTGATGGTACTACAATTAGTCAATGCGATAGTCATACCACTGCTTGTGACGGAAACCACGTAAGTCATTTCCCACATTCCTGCCTGCGATTTTTGCCTCCACCAACACATGCGTTTTCCTGTCGACTGTATCTCTAAAATTTGCGCGTGCATACACCGCTTAAGTGACAGCAGGTTGCCCAAGTATTGGGGCTTCTTTTGATGTGTAGCTTCCTGTTGACCGATTCGGTTACCTTTGATGAGGCTTCCGAACTCTCACCTTTGGACTGGCCCAAAGTGAGTAGAACTATGTTCCTCCTGTTGAAGTCTCTCACATACCTTGCTAATGGCAACTTTTTACTAGGCTTTACTAGGCGAATCACTTAAGTAAGTCGAAGTCTGATTTACCATGAACAAACCGTACATTTGGTTACGGGACGCCAGTTGATGTGTTCTGAACCTCAGTAGCAGTTTACATTTACTTTCCCTGAAAAATTCACGCCCGAACAGGTGTGGACAAAGGTGCCTTGCAAGTCATTTTTCATCTATGATGGATAACAGCCCGTTCCTTAAGAGATTAAAAGGTCCACTTCCCCGGGTCGTATTTCCGCTGAGTAACCTCATGCCTCGAAGAGTAATCCCTATAACAGTTAACCATTCAATGGGCTTTTTTCAGCTTTTGTTTTCGAATCCCTCACGATCGTCGAATGAGCCCGTAGGTTGAACTAAAGTTTTTCCCAGACAATGGGAACACCTCTTCGTCTGATCCTGTGCGAAACAAGCAAATAGATCACTACTGTATATTTGCGACAGTGCCCACACTCACCTGTTTTCGTTTGACCTATGCTCTTCTAGCTCACCTTGTTTTTTTGCCGAAAAATTAAAACTGAATTTGGCTGTAATCGATCTCACAAAGTGTGTACCGAATTTGTCGTGTGTTCAGGCACATATTTGTTCGGAAATTGTGGACAAAGGTGTTGGTTGGGTGCATGATGAAGGATCGTGTAGGTAAATAAGTAATCGGTACTAGACAGAGTGTGAATTGCTAAATATGACTTCGCACTCATATGGATGTGAATATCAGCTGTAGTGACTACGCGCCCAGGTGGTTTATATAGCTTATGGGAGGGTTTGAATGAATATGCTATAAATACTCGCCCTATTGTTGGAAACTACTCACATCTACCACATTACATTTAAAACTCATCTAAATAATTATGCCTCACGGTTTTGCATGCGCTTCACACCTTCAAATTGAAGACTGCTGGCCTCGAACCCTAACCATCATGCTTGTGGATGAGCTGACTGAGGTAGTAAACAAATTGTTCCACCTGGGCTACAACATCGGTCCCGATGGTTCCATCCAGGTTTGGGAGGCCGGAACAACTTTTGTGAACCTGCATCACCTGTGGCGTGCGTGTGACATCAGCTAATCCGTCAAAGGTTATGTTTAAAATGCTGTGTTGTGCTCTATACTAGCATATGGGCACCAAAGGAATTTCACTGTTTAACCATCGATTTCTTTGGAGCATTGCCAGAGGCCGGTGGGAACACCGGATCAGCAATAATGGAGTACATGGGATGGTTTTCGAAAGTAATAACTCGCCCACGATAGATGAACTGATCACACTCCATGAGTTGTGCTTGCTCGGCCACGTGCTCTTTATGGCAGTCAACCAAGTTCCTCGAACAGCCTGTTTCGCACAACGACGCGAAAGGTAGGAGCCAGCCAGGGGAGTTCGAGCAATGACTTGGCAGTAGAGTATGGAGGCCGTTACCGGCAAACTTAGTTGCGCTGGTCATTACTCTCTCCCTTGATGGGGACTTCGAGACAAGACACATCAATGATGATGATGGAGAGTAAAGAAACAAGAAAAACATTCATTCTCCCATCTAACGCTTCTAGTATGATAATTCCTCTCTTAGTTCTATTATAGAACGTAGTACAACTATTTTAAGAGAATTTTCCTGGTGCTTCGTGAGACGACGACCATCGGGTGAAAAAAACGTTATCTACTATGATCATTGTGGAAATGTGATTGGTCCTGTGGATGAATTTCCAAAGTGACCTATTTCATCGCACCATCAATTTGGAATGGTTTTCATGCGATAGTGTCTCGACATTCACTTTATATGATTCTGTCGTTTAATATAAGTATGCGTGATCAAGAAGTCTTTTATTATTGCTGAGAAGGCAATAATAATGTGCTAATCTACGTGTCCTTTAATGAAGAAACACCAGGAAGTTCTTCAATTTTGAAGACAGTTATCACGTAGTGCATGGATGTCTATGAAGCAAGGACACTTAAGAGAGCTAAGCCTGAGTTTGCTGTTGGCAGCAATAAGGAAAATATGGTTTTGGCCAAATTCTAAATCCGTTTTCTTCCCTACATTTTAAAAAGGAAGATGAAGGAAGAAGTGTTATGTTGCTTCTGAAGGTTAGCATTAGAAGTGACAACGCTGGGTGACAATATGTTCGTTTAGGTAACCATTCAGTCACGGAACAGTCTCCCGATGTGTAAAAGGCTATACCTACCTGGGCATGAGCTCTCTGACGTTTCTTTCTCAATGTTCTTCTCCCGTTACTGTCTTTTATTGTACGAAACACTTGCAGTCATGCCCATACACACTCGCATTTTATTCTTATGATATGTTTCTATATACTTTAGTATTAGTAAATAGTAATGACTCAACCTAGGTTTCTCACTTGATTTCATTGTTTAGTCAACAATCGTGATCTAAAGCACCTCATCACGCTCACCTCACTCTCTGTTGTTTTGTCCTACAGCATGTTTCCCACGCCGCTGAACCATTGCCTTTCGCTCAGCCTGACATGAACACCGATGATATCAGTTTGTCATCGCAGAACTTGCAACAGGTAGCCCGAGTTAGTCTTCAGCTGGAGGCGGCGCGTACAGTGTGAGTCAGTATGACTTTGCTACAGAATCATTCCGCCCAGTTGTTAGTGTTGGTATCTTCTAGTTTCGCGTACTTATTATTGGACTTTATATCGTTTTTATCAGCATACAGTCAGTTTTGAGAACGTTTTAACCCCTACAGCAGGGTACCTAGAGTACACGTGTGTTCAACATTTCAGAGGCCTGTGGGAAGCACAAAAATCCAACTTGTTCACTTAATCTGTATAACAACAACCAACAACAATTGAACATTGCATCTATTATCGTGATTTCAGTTGGGCTCGTTTAGTGTTCGGTTGCAAAGGAAATGATTACGAAAAACGACAGCGTTTGAAATACCTTATATTACAAATAGTATCTTTTTGATTTCTTTAGAAGGGATTGGGTTGAAAGATAGGACTAGTGTTTTGCACGATTCGCTTTTGGTGAGGATCTGTTTAGGGTGAACGTTCTCTGCAAAGCCAAGTAGTACATTATTTCCACATTCCAGTCCAGATCACATCATCATCATCATCGACAGCGTGACAGCGTACGATGCTTCGCTGTCATACAACCATGATTTATTCGGAAGCCTTACTGTGAAGAAGAAAATAAAGGTGAATGGGGAAACTTAGCGGTAGCTTACTACAATCACTCTGAAGTACCTACACCTTCAGGCAATCTGGATAGAAACTGACAACAAGAACGCCACTGATATCGGTTGGCAGCCATATCTTGTAGTGTCTCCAACCAGGCACAGTGAGGATCACGCGGTCCCCATCCTGGAAGGCGAGTAGCACCGACAGCACCCAATCGTTTCGTGATCTCCTTCATACTCCTCTGCCAAGTCAAGGGTTGGCCATCTCTCTGTTTACGCCACTCCGAATTGGGCATGGAAAACAGTACTCTCTTCGGCAAACGATGGTTCGGCATACGTAACACATGTCCCAACCAACGCAGCTTCTGGTGCTGGACACATTCTTCAATGGAAGTACCCGTTGCACAACCGAAAACTCACTTTCTAATTGCCTCGTTACGGATTCGCTGACACCAACCCACAAGATCTATGGTTCTGAGACAACGATTGTCGAACACCTGAAGAAGTCTCAGGTCCGCTGCTCGCACAGGCTAAGTCTCACAGCCACACAACAAAACAGCCGCACTGTAGCTTGATACACACGCCACTTGAGATTCAGGGATGCACCAATTTGATGTCATAAGTGTCTCAAATTAGCAAACGCGACCTGAGCCTTGCAGATTTGTGCATTGACCTCATCTGTCACACTACAATCAGAATCAGTACAACTTCCAAGGTACGTAAAACGTTCCACAACTTCTGGCACCTTTCCCTGGATTGTAAGTTGCGTTTTCAGTGACTGCATGTCCAGGAGCACGACCTTACTCATTGTGGGTGCAAAGTGCATACCAATGGACGGAATGACTTCGGTCAGTCCATCCAAAAACACCTACGCCTTCTCATCTTCGAAGCTGAGGAGGAAGGCGTCTGCATAGTGCACATCGACAAGCTTTTCGTCACAGGTTATTTGAACTCCGGGGTCTAGGAGACCTACCAGCGTTCGTCTCATGATTTCATCGGTCACGAGGTTGAACAGGAGCGGAGTGAGTGGACATCTCCGACGGATACCGCTTTGTGTACGTAGGCTTTTGGAAAGCTTGTCGTATCCTGTCACACGTCCGGATATCTGATAATTCAAAGATTTGGTCAGATTTTGTCCAAACCACACACTGACTTGATTTACCGGATTGCGTGCATGAACCTAGAGGTCACATTGTGTGATAATGTAAAGTAATTTCCCAGTTGCTTCTTACCTTCAATAGTTCGATTTTATTCCTATGAAACTCTAGTCGCATTCTCAGCAGTTACGAATTAACCACGTTGTTGAAAACGCATCGTACTTCCGATTATCAGTAGGCTACTGGGAGGTCCGATTGCGACTAGCAGATGTTCGGCTGACGATAGATCATCCTTTCATGGACATATTGAAGGCGAATCCCCCAGTCACGTGATTTTGGCGGGTGTTGACTTTGGGTTATTCGTTATTTGCTTCTGCAGCCCCTGTTCGGTTAGCTCCGGTGGTGCAGTCAAGCGAATAGTTTGCTGGTTCAGACCAACCATTGACATCATTCGTATGATTAATGTGAGCAGTGTCGACCAACCAGGGTGTCAGGCGCTCGAACAAATAAATGGGATCCTTACTGATCCTTTTGGCTTCATGTTCATGTCACACTTTACGTTAATTTATTTGGTGAAGCCATTCGTGATTTATTTGGTCTCTATAGGACATAGCTGCGCGCATGGTTTGTGAGACTAGCGGATCAAGGCACTAAAGTTTTTTCAAAAAAACAAATGTCTACTCTGAATGTATGTTCCAGTTTATTGGTTAGCAATGAAACTACTGGATGTAACGCAGCTAACTTACAAGTCAGAACGGTCCTGTATTTCGTCGAACATGGGAAGTTTTCTACGGACCAACCAAAGATAGACAGTGTACAAATTAAGCTGAAACAGACTGTCCAATGTGAGAGCAGGGCGGTGCGATTCGTTGAAACATAGTTGCATCCTATAGACGGTCGGAAACTTGAACTGTTTCAACCAGAGTCACACCTCTTCTTCAACACTAGAACGCCAAGGTTACTTTTTTTGGAATTTGAGTTTCAGCCATATGACTTTCCAAAAACTTTGTCTCTGTGGACTTTGAGAATCACATGAGAAGCCACTGAGCGTTGGAATGCAGAATCAGTTATTGTGAAATCTTGTGCAACGACGGAATAGCAGAGCCGGTCAATGTAAACTTTTTAAAACGATTCTTTTCGGATACGCACGCTAGCATACTATATTCTGGTCACAAGTTGTGACAGGGCAGCCAAACACGATCAGACCTTTCGATGCCTTCAGTACTGGACTCTCTGGCTGCTGTCGCTCAGGTTCCGAAGTACCTATCTCCAGTCTTCGATCCCAAACAGCTTTCGCTGTTACGCGTACTGAACCGATTTCCTGTTTATCTGAACCTGTAGTACGGTTTGGCTTTGCCTTTCGCTTGCATCGTCGCTCATCCCTTAGGATCCAAGATTTGTGGGCTCAGCGCAGCGATCGAGTGACAGGAATTGCACCGAGTGATCTACAGGCTAGTAGAATGGGGAAACAGTCAAATGCGCACGTACCAATTGGGAAATGCAACTGCCACATCACAAGCTCATAAGCTATTCGACTGGCCACAGTTGATTTCCGCTGTCACCCTAGCTGTGGTAACGTCGAAATGATGAGTCTGGAACGCACTCCCATCCATAGTAGTGCGACAAAACCTTGAGCACCCAGTGGTTCAGAAACAGACAAAACACCTTTGGCAATCGAATCGCAATGTAGCCAGGTCACCAGAGTTGAAATCATCTTCCTGACTTACAGCCGTGATACCACGTTTCTCATGAATCTGGTGGATGGAGCCTTTGAATTTTTTTAATTTTTCCTAAATCCCTTTTCCAGACCTGTAACCAACTTGCGCGAACTGTAAATAAAAAAGTGCCAGCCTTGGCTTAAATTCTTAGCAGTGCGTTTATTTAACATGCAATGGCTGATTTCTGCGACAACAATGCCATCTGGATATCCGAAGCATTCTTTTTGACCCACGCCAAAACAAAAGCACTTAAATTCCTATAATTGCGTATATTTTGCAATGCAAGTTATTTGGTGTTCAGCCTACCTCATTTGTATCCACAACGTAGTTTGACAGTAATGTTCTCACAAGCCGTGTCGGAGACAGTCGGGCCTTATGAGATTGACCAGACTAGTTGCTCTTTTCCATGGATTCTTTGTATCGAATTAATTCAGTTGAGCCAGTCCTACGTATTTAGGTAGCAACCTATATGGGTTTCATATTTTTGGAGGTTACCTCCGAGTGTTGTCCCATGGAACTACTTAGAGTTTTGCTGTTGAACACAAGGTTTACTACTTAATTTCTCAGACTTGTGATCAGACTCAGACAAAAGCCTGTCCTTTGAGCTTTCGAGCACCGTTTATATTATCTTGATAGGCCCTTTACATTCGAATTTCAAGTAAAATTGACTGCCCGAAGCTTTTTCTTTCCGAGATTCTTATGTCAAATGGCACTAGAGCTCAATATATCTTTTACACCTTTACTGGTGGAACGAACTGTATACGGCATTTCAAGACAGGGGACCGGTAGCCGATTTGAAGGTGCCCATGTAGGAATTCGACACCTGATCGTCGTAACGGATGTGCACGACTTTAACCACTGGGCTACCCAGACTGATTTTTCACCTAGCCGGTTAATTGGATCGAGCAGTTATTCACAAGTGAAACGGTCGATCCAAATGGCGATTCCATTTGTTCGCCCAATTTGATTGGACGGAATGTAACCGTAAAAATCCTATCGATCAGCGTCCATCGTGTGCTGTGTTAGGTTGTAATGGCGGTTGATTACACTAACCCTCCGGCAGGGGACTACACCCAGGAAGGAGAACATTTGGTCTCACTTATTATACTGTCTCTTACTTTTCAGGAGGGTAGGCTCTCTAGACAGGGACCTCAGGATTGTTTCTTTAGGAATGGTCATTTTGGTTTTCTACTTTCCGATCAAGTCATTACGAACCGAGTTGTCCTTTCAAATGTTGACATCTAAATTATTAACCCTTACTCCATTGCCATTTATCAAACACCATTGGAAAAATCCAATGATGAACTGGACCTTCCTGGAGTTTTTGATCACTATGCCAGTTGCCCTACTTGTCTTTCCCACTTGTACCCTGATTCACTCAATTTGCCATTTCTCGGGGGCAAGTGATTCTGAATTGTACTATCTCTATGGTGGGTGATGCTTCTAAAGAGGGCTTATTTCGGCACTCCGATGATCATGAAGGTGGTATCTAAAACGGCGGTTGATCAGTCTCCATAACAGATGGAGTGACCACACAAGGTTAGTTGTTGGGGCTCCGCGATGGTTGAGGTTAGTGACCTTCTGTTGTTTGGCCTGGTATAGGCCTATATCGGTTCCTTTGTGATATATCAAGCATGTCTCTGTTATCGATTTCTTCCATTCGGAGTACAACCATGTCACGTTTATTTTCCATAAAACAGTGTTAGTCGACTGGAACAGGAATTATCATCTCTCCTTCGGCCGAATGTTGCCTGCGCTGACTTTGATTCAGATCTTGGTGAAAAGGGCAACGGCTCAGATCTTTCCTCGGTCAGTTTCCACCTTCCGGAAGCAATTCCTTCATCTGATCTGAACTGCTCATACTTCACTGGAAACTCTTTGCGGTTCAAATCGAATGTAAGTTTGGCTCTCCAGTTTCACATGTTTGGTTCGGCGTCGCGTTCGTTTGGCTAGAGATACCATGAGATGTGGCGACAAACTGAATTATTGGTGTTCGTGTTGCTAGCTTCCATCTGGATTTTCTGACTGTGCGATGAAGATACAAGCACCTCCAGTGTGGGGGCTTACCGTACGCTACTATGTTATGCCATGTAATATGGCAGACTTTGGAAGAAACCAGTTGATGGATGTCTACTTTAGTTGGTGCATTGTAGGACGGAATTCTCACATCTGTGGCATCGTTTTTTTTTCATCAGCAGACCTTGAATCGTGTACTGGCCGTGTGTAGTATGGCAGACTTTGGAAGAAACCAGTTGATGGATGTCTACTTTAGTTGGTGCATTGTAGGACGGAATTCTCACATCTATGGCATCGTTTTTCATCAGCAGACCTTGAATCGTGTACGTGGCATCGTTTTTTTTTCATCAGCAGACCTTGAATCGTGTACTGGCAGTGTGCGGATTTGTAGCAGAAGACTGGTAGGTCATGGACCTTCAGGGCTAATCGTGTGTCCTTTTCCTTAACAGCAAAGTGGGGCCTTCCATAAACTGCATTTCGGGTCGTCTACTTATGGTTGCGGTCCACTTGGAAGATGTGCGTAGACATGTACGTTGTAATGCCATAACGAAGCCGGAGTTTCCATAGCTTAACTCGTTTACGGTGAGAAGTATGTTTGGCTTGAGGTTGTATCAATATCTGATATCCTCCTGTAAGTCCATCCATATCCATGTAGGTCAGGTAGTGATAGGAACTTCACTATTGGAGGACCACATTAAACGTATTTGATAAGGCTCATCACGTAAATCGTCAGCGACTAGGGTTATCGTTGTGTGCATTCTGGATTACTGGCATTTTTTGTCATCTTGGTTGACACTAGACAATGTACGTCATTGCTATGTGCCTGTTTTTTTTTACTGTCACACCACTACACACTTACTGAAAACGGCAGTTGAATTTCACTCTCAGCTTTGTCGTAGTATACATGCTCACTGTCGTTTGGTTCCTTACTGTTCTTTCCCTGAACCACTTGAACGTTGGGGTGTATGTTCCCACCAGCATGGCCGGACAGCCTCATCACAGTAGGATGTATTCATGGACAAGACCGAATCGTCCCCCGTCTCTCGGCGTCTTGGTGCCTTCCATTCTGTCCACATGGCTAAGTCCCAATAGCAAAATGTCACTGGTGTACTACTGGTTAAGTGGATCGTGTTGGATTATCGGAATAGAATGACGCGCCCGCCTACCTTCCGATAGCTCAGTATTATGGGGGTCAACGAAGCTCAGCAGCATCATAGCCTTTCCACTAGCCCCGTGTGATTTTCTACGCAGCTCCAAGGTCAAATTCATAACGTTTTGCAGCCTTTTGTACGAACCACATA